TGCGAAAATTGATGTGAGTGGTAGCGTGGGGATCCGCTATGGCAAACCACTGCTTGAGTTCCTCCTAACTTTCAGTGCTAATTTCAGGTTACCGTTTGATCAGTTTGTATATTGTTTCGTTGGTGAGTGCGGTGGGTCAATCGATGAGGTGGAGGAGCTCGTCGAACAGCCAGGATTGCTTGGAGGCTAGCGGTCGCCTCACAGCTGGTGCAGTTCACAGCGATGAACAGCCGTCTCGTCCCAATTCAGAGTTTATCAGCCGAAGAGGACGATGGACTGCCGCCGTTTCGTGTATGGGATTTGCTCGACATGGAATGGGGAAGGAGCGGTAGACACTTCGGGATTCATCGAATGAAGGGGATGAAGTATCCCAATCTGGGCATGGAGTCGAGACTGGATGGCGGATGGACACTCTGTTGAAGGCCGCAAGAGGCGCTGGCGACCAGCTCGGCATGAGTGAGTTCGAGCGATTTGTTTGATATTGTTATACTGTATATTGTTATACTGTTTAAGAGTTATATGATAGCTTTGGCTATGAAATTTTTCAGGATTCTTTTATGTTGTATAGTTAGGTTGTATTGGTTATGTTGTGTAATTATTTTTGCGCTAGTAGTGCTGCTTGTATAGTTTTTCTAGTTTATCAGTTTTGTTATATGAAAGGTTTATTTTATGGTTTTTCGTACGCTGGTTCTCTGTATGTATGATTTTTTCCGATAGTTTTTTTTTTTTTGACAGTTGATTTCTTTGCTACTTGTATGTTGTTTTTTTGTGACTTTTCGGTAATATTGTTGTTTGTTTTTGTACTATTTTTTTATGTAATAAAAATTTTGGCTTACTTAATGGTTCACGACATATCCAACGGTCACGCTTTCTCGGCTTTGCGACGGATGAGGTATCTTTAGGTTATGCTTGTTGCGCTTCCAAGTCATCTTAACTTACGTACTAGGGAAGCAAAGCTTTTCTGCAGTCAGTGATGTGGTCTCGGTTTCTCACTACCTGTGAAGACCTTGTAGTTGATGTTACATTTTTGAAATCGTATATGCGTAGAATTCGCAAAAAATGCAGCGTTCTGGCTTTCGTTGCCTGTAGTTCACTTGTTGCGGCAAACAGACATGCAGACCGACATCCATCCGCAACAGTGCACTTTTCTGAGCAAAAACACAACACAGATTGCAGTGTACAAGGCTTGCCGGCACCATCTTGCGTTTTCGTGACAAACCCGCAGATTGCTAACAGCAGGAATGGCTTCTGTGCAGCAGTTCGACACTTGGACTCATATTGGCTGTATTTTTGCCTTTTCCCAAGCGCAGGGAAAAAAAGCGTCAGCTAGGACAGAAAGGTTACATTGCGACAATATGAGCTTCTAGCGTGCATAGCTATCAGTTTTTTACACAAAGCCTGGTCATTCTTTCGGTGAATGCCGGTTCGTTTGAAGGAAGTCGGAAGAGGACTATAAAATCTGCAAAATGCACTCGCTTTGGAGTGTGCGATAAAATTGAGTATTTTTCATGTCTGTGAGCGGGGGGTTTCACCTCCAAGTTGAACTAAGACTACATGCGAATACAGAATATCCTTGCAAAGCGAAATAGTCACATCTGTAAAAACAACTCTGATGCGCCCTAAGTTGTGACGGAGGTGCAAATCGAAACTCAGTTTGGGAATACGATTTTCCATGTAAACAATAAGTATTTAGACAAAATTTCAGCCGCTGCTTTCCAGCTAGTTCTTGAGTCGGCAAATCGCAAGCTGTGGACTTTGATGTGGTCATATGCGCCGTATAAGCGTATGCTACAGCTGAATTTGAAACAATCAGTTCATACATGCACAAAGAATGCCCGAACGATGTTTTAGCAGACTGTTTGCGTCCTGAGAGCATTTTATCCGGGGCTTTCAACTCAGGATCCAAAGAAGCTAGGGAGCTGAAATTTTAGCAGAATGTTTTCCGCCCAGGCTTGACCCCGCAAACTTAAATCCAG